CTTACTCATATTCATCACTGATCACAGCACATTAAAAAAAAATAGATTTAGGGTAACACAGAAAACACAGGTGTAGCTACTTTAGCTTTCCTCTCATATTGCTTTTTGGTAGTTAACCTCACACAGCCGTGATTTTTTAGTAATCTGCCAAAAATGCGGGTAGATGATGATGAGGAGAGTATCTCATGTTGTTATTCATATGTTCTTTTACCCGCCAGAGGGCAGTGGTGTCCCGTATCGGCAGCATTTCTTTCACATTTGAGCCTTACCTCAGAACAAACTCGTAGTAAAAAACTTTTCTCCTTCCATCCATTAGTGTATGTTAGTCCTGAAAGAGAAAGGAGATGCTTCTGTTGCACCAGTGCTAATAAAATAATCTTTTATGCCTGTGGCATAGCAGTGAGCCAAAGCCACCAGTTCTGTATTAACTTCTGAGATTTTTGTTTTTCCTGCCAAACTTCCTTTGTTTTACCTAAGGGAAGAGAAAGATTTCTGTTTTATTTTCCAAAAGACAGTAAGACACACGAGCATATGTGTAAAACAAAGGCCAGCCTAAACTACAAATTTCATTAAATCGAACAAAAATGAGTACTTATTCAAGGCCTAAGATTTGAAAAAAATTGGATCTAGTATCTTAAGCATTATGGCCACTACTACAGGACTGTAGTACAAGGCTTGCCTTGTCATTAATTTCAATATTTTTTTCATTTATTTCACTTTTTTCCCCTGTCTTCATATCTGAATCTACCTACTCTCAATGTGTATGCTAAACAGTAATCTCTCTGTGCTATAAGAATTTTGATTATTTATGTTTATACATGCATACATTCCTAGCATGAACTGATCCTTGTGAAGACTTTGAGCAAATTTATTGCTTTGCTTTGTGTAGTTTATTGACTAAGTTGAAAAAAAATGAAGGTGGAAAGACCATTTTTCAGTCATATAGAAAATAATGCTTTGAGATATTTTCAAGAAATTCTTTCTCCACACTTCAGTTTAGCAGCACAGTAGTGAGAAGTGAAATCAGAACCTGTTTAGCTATCAACATTTTTAAATTCATAAGGGAATTATTTGTATTTCTATCGTTATCTTCAYATTCTGATGCAGATTTTGTATAGCTCCAAATTTCTTTATGAAGTGCTGGGAAAAGAATAGCAGTGCAAATCTCATCCCTTTAATATTACTCCCAAATCCACCGCTGCCAGATCTGATATGTTGTTTTAGTCTCTTCAAATATTTGCCTCTTCAGAGAGGGTGGTTGCTTATGTATCTTCATTAGTTTTCTGCACAAAGGCATTGTATTAAAACTGATCCTCTGGGAGGTACAAGCTACTGGGCCATGAAGAAGAGCTGAGCAGAATGGCAACATTATGCATAATTGTGCCTCGCCAGTGCCTTATTGCTCCGTTGCCTTCCACTGCTGATTGCAAATGTAGCAGATCACATTAGCTAAGTTTAAACACCCAGGGTGGAATTCATCTGACTTAATAAAGA